GCATTCTCCAGTCGGTTGTTGGTCACATTACCAAAATGAACCATTCCGGACTGTGCGTGTATGGCCCATTTTCGGGTGATGTACAACCAGCGAGCAGTGAGATAGGAGAGAAATCGGGGATCGGTTCGGCGCAGAAGCTGTAGATCTTGTCGGAATCTGTGTGCTTGTAATATGATGAACATAAAACCACATAAACCATAGCAGTCGAAGTTCAAAGCCGAATGTGCGCCAATAATTTTCAAAAGAGATCGATCAAAACAAATCGCAAAAAAATGACGGCAGATGAGGTTTTCAGATGGTTTTCAGTCCACGCATATATGCAAAGAAGTGCAACATTTTGACGTTAAATTTTTTATTTCGCCCGCAGGGGTTTTACGGAAAAATGCAGTGTGCCTCTAGCCGCTGGCTGCAGCCGCTAGCGAGAAGAAAAGCATCCAAAAAATGAACATAGATTTCAGGTGAAATATACGACGCGAACTTCGACTTGCCCCACGAAGGCCCTAGAGGGGCTGTCACATAATGCTGGTAGGTTGTATAGTGTGATACAATCCACAAATGCTGCAACACTATAGAGCTTTGAGATCGGGCAGTAGTCAAAAATACCACACCGATTTAACTTGCTACAGTGCGTACCGAAAACAAAGTAATTTCACGTTGGATGGGTCATAGTTGGATCTTGGACCGACTGTAAGCTCCTATTACATCAATATATTGATGTAACACGTTAAATATATTTAACTTTATTTCAAAATGAGGAATTAGTGCCGAAAATTCGCTCAGCATGTTCAGTAACCTCGCAAAATATTATCGACCTACCTGCAACCTGTTATTTGTCGTACCCGGTAATGTCTTGTGGTCCGCAAGACGGTATGTGGATCTACAAACTATCTTCGAGGGATTTAGAACAGTCCCCACAGCAACAGGACCAACCCCGACTGGAGAAATCCATGCTGAGCGGAATCCCATGCATGGCTACCGATAAACTTCGCCATCTTGTGAATCAGGACCCCCCTTTGGCCCGGGTTCAGAATGCATGTTCACCCAGAAGGATCAAGTCTGGACAACGGTAACGTTGATCTACGCTGCTTGTGAGGAAATTGAGCTCCCTACTCGAAAAGCCGCTCTAAAACGGTCTTCGGACTCTTTAAGGCTTTCACTGAGGCCCTTTATTCTAAATGGGGAAGTGAGGCCCACAGAAGTGGACCGGGAGAAGTTTATAAAGGAAGTAGCGTAGTCATCGCAAGTCGCTTGGGACGGGAATCGAAGTGGCCACCAGGCGACGAACAGTAAACTGGGTGTTAGTGGGTTTTAATTCAGCACGATCTCTGCAGTTAACCCTGAAATGCACCCGTAACACACGTTCCCCCCGGATCTATCCACTGGTCCTCCCTCGACGTCTGAAGGATTTTCCGTTTATTCTCGTATATTCTTCGTAAATTCCCCTTACTTTCATCTCTACCGTTCCTGAAAGCCGTCAAATTATATAGGACTTTAGCTAACGTGCACCCACCCGACTCCCTTTCGCCTCATTCCGAACCCAAATCTTATCGATATTTGTAGAAGCCTACGCAGTCAACCAAGAGAACATTACCCCAACTTAGTTCTTGTCTACCAAAGCACCCACAGTTTGCGTGGGACGACGAGTTGATTCATTAACTGTCTAGCTATTGTACAACAGACCACAACTTCAGCATAGTTCGCACTCCTTTATTCTTTCCATTCCATACATTGTCGATAATGCTTTCTTGGTAAATGGCCTTCGTTAGTTCAGTGCAGGACCCTGCACTACCACTACCAATTACCTGGATCGTGGACTGTTCGAGACTGCGTACCTGAGTTGTAATTCAACTCCCTCATACATAATTCTTTTCTATTTAGTTATATACAACCTTGTAAGGTGGTTATAGTTACTCCGCGCTGAGAGTAAGCGCTTCTAGCAGGTACGCTAAGTCTGGATGGGAACGTTTGTTGCCCATAAAAAGTATGTACATATGTTTGCCCTATGGATCGAACTTCGTCTAGGGTATTTTCCGTCTTTCACTTATGCCCAACATTTTTCACGTGTATTCGACTACTATTAGCTTCCTATACCTCCATTAGTCCAGAAACCCTACTATAGCTATATATGACGCATCGATTTCGATGTGGAACGATTATATGAAGTCCGTGACCGCAAATGCTATACTATTTTGTGGTATTTTCTAGCTATCCAAAAGCGTCTACGTCTCAGTATACCGGAAAACAGCGCTCTTTCAGGACATCGCATGCAGTGGTGAAGTCAGTGCTATGTGATATACCCCAGGATAAAAGCCTCACACTAATTTCGCTGAATCATGGATTGGATATCTCTTCACTGCCAAAAGTTCCTCGTACATTGTTCACTTGGACAGCATACACAGTCCAAGGAACCCGAGTTTCCCAGGTATTTGACGGTTTCATAGCCATCTAATAACTACCTGTTTTGGCGGTTACACCATCAGAACTGCCATATGAACGTTATTTGCGGTTACATAAAGTTTAAATTAGCTATTGTGAGCCGCGTTTGCATTTTATGTAACCGACTGATAATCATCAAATAACCGTGTTTTTAGGTCACCAGAAGGTTAAATGACTGTGTGTCAGGTTAGATACCGTGGCTCAAAAAGTCAACGCGATCTTATCCAAAGTAATTCCTAAATGGTTCACTTACGAATCATCCCCTCCATTGTTGACTTCAGCACCTTGTTTGTTGTAGCATATGTGTGAGTTCTGATAGCACCACATACATCGCTAAAACTGGTAATAGTTGATTGCGAAATATTTCACCTTCTGAGCACTACAACGCAGCTCCGGTGCCGAAAGGCATTTCGGGGAATTGAAACAGACCTAATTAAGTGTCTTACGAACGTCACACTACTATGTCAGTAGGCTGACCGAATGCTGAGTGTCTTGTCCGCAGGAGAGCTCTTCAGACAACCAGGCATCACTTCAGTGGGGCACATACGTCTCAAGACATCTAGGTACAATCAAAGGTTGAGGTGCGAGCCAATCGGTTTCGAGCGGCCTTGATTGGATGATTACCACCCAACCTCGATCTTGTGTAGATTTATGCAACGTTCCCATGAAAACAGCTGTAACACTTTTTGTCTGCTACCGTTGGATTTGGCCTTATGCAAACAAGCCTTGTGTACCATAGCGGGAGGAACACCGGTCCAAATGGTTGTACCGGGTGATTTTCATAATATATTAGCAAAGCGCCCGCCATTTATCGTACATTCATCGGGCAACCGACAATAAGTTTATCTTGGATGAGAAGCTGTAGTTCAGCACAATGTCAGTATCTGACCCGGAACAATACTGGCGTCCAAAGTATGCAGCAGTTTTGCCTCTATTTTTAACACTATTAAGATTTGTGCATAAAAGTCCAACCTGCGACTTACCGTTTAATTGATCACTAAACTGAAGATTTCGCAAACATCAAAATGCTTTTCAACAGTACCTTCAAAATGGCTTTATTGAACAGTGTTCTGTAATAAGGTTATACACCGCTTGCTAAGTTTGCAGCGTACAACACACCCGTGGAAGCATAATACCCTATAAGAATAGATGAATCAAGCATCCACGGAAAGGTGAATGATCTCTGATGTTTATGTAACTGGTCCATTTACCTTGCAAACATATTGTACAACCGAGTCCTAATTGCATGGTGCCCGTGTTTATGCACAGAGCTGGAGGGTGTGAAATGCACTGGATGACATTAACTTTCTTCTGAGTCGTAAAGATTATACAAGCCCCCCTCCCAACAGGTCCAATCAATTCAACAATACCTACTTAGAATGTGATATTCCGTTTTAGGTCCACCGGAGGTGTCAGGCGAAGGCCTGTAGCTGCCCTTTCGCCACACACATTACTGTACAGGTCGCCACCACTCACTAGATCACGAGATCTACCTTTTTTCTTACATTGCGGAATTCGGGCGCGGAATTCGTATTTTGACGGCTATCGTTGGCTTTGCGCAGAGTCTACGAGAACGTGGAAAATCTTGTGGAAAAGCTGTTTTATCGCCTGTTTCCTTATGTATTAGATTTGGAAATAATCTTAAAACGACTTGGACAATAATCGCTCCCTTTACTTCCGGGCGAGCTCAAATTAGAGTGGCCATTCGTGCCCCGGATACCAAGGTTTCGGATAGCCTCCCGTCGGAGAGAAAAATTCGTCTCAGCTATCGCTGTTGAGGAGCTATGGATATTGGGATCTGGCTCACGTCACGGATTCCACGTACACGCGCACAACTACTCGCAATCTTCGACCATACTCCACGTTGCCTACACGAAACGGTAGCCCGCGACGAGTTCCATCCTATTAAACCACTTCTGCACAGATCGGTAAACATTTACTAGCGCTATTGAGAAATCTGTCCGCGCAAGTTTCACCATTAAATCCCTCTTCTTTGCGGATCGATAATCACTGGCCCTCCGAGTTGACTGCGTTCACAACTTCTGCTAACCGGCTGCCGCAAACGCTAGTCCGAGTGTAGACCCAAAACTGGACATACACACCACACGCTCGCAATTCCGCTAGCTAACCTGCCCTACACACACGCCCAAACATGTCCAAACGCGTTACCCGTTCTATAGCATCAACATTAACGAAAGCGTCGACAGCGCGCACGATAACAAAAAAAATTTAATGCGACCCATGTATGACCTGTTCTGGCCCGGTGAGTCTCAATACGCCCTCAGTTCAATGTTGTTCTCGTAAACTGCATGTGCACGCCCGTTGATTGATGATGATTGATGCAACGGTGTAGATTGTCAATGATGCCAGTCACTCATCAGTATGTTATCTATGTGTCACTTGTAGAGATAACATGTTGAATAACGGCAGCCAAAATGCGAACACAAATGACATCAGCAAAAGGAACGACCTAATGGAGATTAGACTGGGCTCATTAGAGAAACCACTAGAACATATCAGAGAGCTGTTTCAACCACGTGAGTCTGGACCGGTGGGGGAGTGGAGTATGTTGAATTAACAAAGAACTCCATACCTATGTTACAAACCGATGTAGTAACGTCAAAACAGGCCATTGAATCTAAAACTATGTCGCTCAATAATAAACGGAAAGCCTCATCGGGACTTATTGTTATTTGCGCTAACGTCACCGAACATTACGATACGTTATTACAAGCGAGACACAAGCGCGAACTGGAGGAGTGGTTCAAACTTTGCGCTAAAATGAAGTTAGAAACTATCGAACCGGTTTCCTTAACACGATTAAGTCGACCACCGAATTCGCCAGATACCGGTAAGCCAAGACTTCTCAGAGTTACCGTTAATACCGAGAAAGACCTGGAGAGTATACTATTATCAGCATTCCAACTTAGGGGGGAAGCTGTCAATGGCGGAAGGATTTTCGCTGATATACCGTGGTCGGAAACATCGCGCAAAAATACACTCAACCCACAAACTCAACCAACAAACATACAAATGACCGCAGTTTGATCAGCTTGGGTGTTCCGGAACACAACGAAACGTGAGATAAAATAGCGCAAAACACACACGACTACATGCAGTGGCAATTTCTATGCAGTACACTTGAAATTGAAAACGTGGCCGTGGTTGATACTTATCGGATTCCGAAATCACCGAAGTAAGTGTGTACCGGCCCGAGGCCCCTGAAACTCACACTACTTCTTGGTGATATGCTAAACTTAATCCAAACAAAATGGCAACGTCACAGGAACTTACTCCCTATGGAGTTAAGGATAAGCACACCCATGCGGAACAACATACCCACATAAGAGACCAACGTTAAAGTAGATGAAGCCGTAGGAGTTTGTAAACCAGGTGAAACTTCAAAAAATGACCAGCTGCCGACTCTGCCAGGGTCGGCCCAATTATAACCGTCCAAACTGCACATTCTCTTGCGTACTGCCCAACACTGCTGTCAATAAACAACATTAAATATTTATACACGAACGCGCAATGCTTCACTTACAAGATTCCAGAATTATCTGAATTGTGTGAAAAGCATTTGCCAAACTTGATTGCTATCAGCGAGACTTGGTTCCAGCCACACTTATCGGAT